GGGAAACCAGATTGCCTAAACATACAAGGACCGGAGACTGGAGGGGGAATGGTTAAAATTAAACCCATGGATAAGGATGTGTTCTTTGATGGGACGAATGTTGCGATTGAAAAATTTATCAAGCGGTACGAATGCGCAGGCGAGGCAGATGGTGCTAGCGCGAGGGACTTGGCGAAACAGGTTATTTTTTTTATCAAGGATGCCGATTTAAAGGACGAGATAGAAGAAATGACTGGTTATGAAGATGTGGACTGGGAGGAATTGAAGAAACAGTTGCTTGATCGATTTGGAAAGGCGCTACCACTAGTCAAGTACACAAAGCAAGATCTAGAAAGTTTGGTCAGCTCCGCCGTCAGTAAAGGAGGAATCAAGACACTCAGTGAATTCAAAGTATTTAAGACTAGATTTGAGGCTGCAACTCACTATCTTGTTAGGATGGGTTATAATACTAGCATTGAAGAATTCCGCGAACTTTTGCTTGAAGCTCTCAGTCGCCGATTAGGATCAGCTGTAATCAAAGAACTTATTAGAGATAATCAGATGATTCGATCTAGAGATGGAGGAGACATCTTACCTCCCACTGTTACTCTCATTGCCTACATTCAAAGAGAAGTTCAATCAGACAGTGTAATGGAACGACAAAATCTTTGGAGTCCAGAAAAGAATCAAGAAAAATTACCAGCATCTCAGACCAAACCGGCACCAAGAATTACCACTCCTAGTACTCCTGTCCAAAATTCGTATGATAAACAGCTTCAAGATCTTACCAAACAACTAGCTGCTCTGACCTCTGGAAACATGGCTCCTCCTCACAAGCCCTTGGATTCAGTCTCTCAACAGGCCAACCCCCCCACTTCAGCTGCCAACAGAAACCCAAATTTCAGATGTTATTATTGCTTCCAGCCCAACCACAGTTCCAACAGATGTAATTTATTTTCTTTTGATGAATCCAATGGCTTAGTCAAGAAAGAAGGCGGAAGTTATCTTTTACCTGATGATACACCAATTGCCTGGGATACTAGTAGACCTATCAAAGAAGTAGTTGATCAGTTTTCAGAAAAATCCAAGAAGACTGCTACAACAGAAATAGAATTCTACTCCTCTTTTGGACAACTTGAAGAAATTTACGTACCATCATTAAGCTCTTATAAAGAAGACGACGACCTAGAAACTGAAGATTTGGACAACTCATCTGTAGTTCTGAGTTTCAATCCACCCTCTGAACCAGAAATCATCTTTACTCAACAGACCAACAAACCCCCTGAAGAGATAACTGAAGAAACAGAGCCTCAAGAATTTCTTTCTGAAGATCAACCAGCTAGCAAGACCTCTTCTGATGAAATGTTAACCACAGATTTCACCGGATTGGAAGAAAAGATAATTCAGAGAATGATGGAGGACTTCAATGTAGCTTTGAGCTATGAAGACGAAAACTCTGATGGACTTGAAGATTTTTCTCAGGAGGAAGAATACGACACCAGCACCTTTATAGAAGATAACAATTCAACATTTGTACCTATCAGTACAGTGGCCAGAAATTTTTTTCACAGCAATGATTCAGATATCTTATTCTCTTTTTCTGCCCAGCTGATGGGGACATCAGCCAAGTTGGGGGAGGATCCTGTCATTTTCCAGCAGGAAAACCCTTTCGGAGATGACATAGCAGCAGAACTGCTGTCTAGTTTCCATGTCTTACCGTTCGCAAATGACAATCCAGAGAACAAAAGTGAACAAAAACTAGAAGATTATCCGGTCAAATTCAGGCAACATAATCTAGATAACGTTGATAGACAAAACAAAGACATTCAAACCGAATTCCATTCAGCCAAATCACCAGATTTAGATTGTTTTTTACCTAAACCACCTTGTAATGATGATGGTTCTGAAAAAGAAATCTACACGCTGAATCAAAGAGGAGACTTGGGCTATCAGCAACATGAAGAACAGGACGTGAATGTTTTCAATAATACTTTGGAATTGCACAAAGATAATGAATGGGATAACTTCTTGAAGGTCTCATTGATTCTATTCTGTTGGTTTATTCTATTCATGATCTGTGATGATGGCTTGCTGTTGGACCCGATCAACTTTGAAGTTGTCAAGAAAAACCGAGGCTTTCCTAGTAGCCAGATAGTAGCTGCCTTTGTCTTTGAGGTACTTATGGCTGGGCTCTCAGTAGATAGTTTTAGAAACAGATCGGAAAGAATCTTAGACTATACTCGTTTCCAGATGCCAGATTCTAGCAGCGACTTGAATAAATTATCACGGTCAACTGGGCAGACATTCCACTCAAAGATTATTTTCAACTACATATGGACCAAAGCGAAAAGGACTGATCGGCGCAAAGCACCGACTGTGTTAGATTCTGACAGGATAACATTGAAAATTGAATATTGAACAGACGGACCGATACATTCGCTGACGTCCTTAAAAGCCGCCGATAATTGTCTCTCGTTTTCAATCTTACATTCCTTCTAGCGGACCGATTTTTCTCGCTGATGTCCTTAAAAGCCGTCGATACAAACAGTCATTCGTTTTCAGTCTTGCTTTACACTCATTCTAGTCGGACCAAGATTCTTTCTGATGTCCTTAAAAGCCGCCAATAGCTGTCATTCTTTACAATCTTCTGATCCTAGTGGGATCGATACTTTTTCGCTCAGTTCTACCTTCTCAGCAATTTTCTCTGCGGCGACTACAACAATCGATAACCAAGGAGCGATAACTAGCTCTCCTTTTTAGTTTCATGTTACAACATTCTAGTCAGACCGATTCGGCAAGGTCGTTAAACAATATCCGATTGTGATTCTTTTCTTTTTTATTCTACCCCAATCAAACCTACGCAATCAGCTCCTTTGGTTCAAGCTCGATCTTCTCTCAGAAACCTTGCTTTGGTTAACATCTCTGTCTAACACTCCGATTACGATAGTGTACATGTCATCCAACATTTCAGATAACAGTTTCTTTCAACAGGTACATTCATAAGAAATCAGAAACAGAATTCAACAAAAGTATGACAACATGCTGGTTTAGTAAGAAACTACAGGCTGTGGAAAGAAGAGATCAAAAAGAAACTCAGAAATTCAGAAGAAAGAAGACTAGATCATGAAAAAAAATTGGAAGAAGAAGTTCTTCAAAGGGAAAATGGAAATAATGATATTACATAATTTAGTTAAATGGTAAATTACAGAAAAATAAGAAAATTAAATAGATTTTTTAGTTAGAGGACTAGAATCAGAGTATATTTTTTTAGTCAGATGGCTAAAACAGATTAGAATTATTAAGATAGAAATAGAGAAAATTTACCTGGATACTAAATTATGAGAAATTTTATTATCAGAAACAGCCCATTCAAGAATTCGACTGAAAATTCATCTCAAGGTTAAAATTCAAGATCTGAAGATTTGGGATTCAAGAAAATCAATTCTCAAGCAAACCTGAAACTCAAGACTGGCCAATTGGACTCATGCTTTTTTTTTCTTTTGTTTCTCTGTCACACTTCTAATTTGCACATTTTCTAATTTTTTTTCCCTTACTTGATCATTACATAAACTACATATATTTTATTTATTTA